ACGATCTGGGCCACGTCCCCAATGTGAGCGACGTAGCACGTCACTTCCTGTGATGTGCTGGTGGCGTGTGCACGCTTTGCGCGCGCACAAATCCTGAGAGAGCTCCCGGAGCCCGGCAAGGCTCCCCCGCTGGCAAGGGTAAGTACACTTGGCAATCCTAATCCCTCTCCTGCCTAAGCCCCATCCTCCTCAGGCTCCATCCTCCAAAGATCCAGGTATTTCCCAACCAATGCTCCCTCTAAGCCGTGGAGTCTTGTGAGCAAAAATTCTACTTAGTGAGCTGTTGGCATTAAATTTTTGAACCAGCAATTTGGCTACTGCATAAATTAGTTTGCTCTGGAGCCATCCTTCCTGAGGGAAGACCAAAATGTTATTATTATGAGTTATGTTATTATTATGAGTTATTATTAGGGTTGCCAGCTTGGGTTTGGGAACAGTGTTCCCGCTAAGCTGAGTCAGTGTGAGCCGCGCTAGCCCACTCTGGCTGCCAACCTCGTGCAAGCCCCGACGCCTTCTTCCAGCCGCGCTCGCCAAGCCCGCCGCTGGAGACCGCCCGCTCGCAAGTCTCGCCATTTTTTTTTCCAGCTCGCCGGCCGTGCTCGCAAGGCCCCGCTGCCGGAGATCAAGGCCCGCCGCCCTCTTCCGGCTCGCCAGCCGCGCTCTGCCTCAGGGCCGCTTCATTGTTTTTAGTCCTCCATGTAACCCTTCCTATCCTTTAGTAAATTTTCTTTTAGCTAATTTACACATGTATGCTGGGTTATTGTTTTTATGTGCCAACAATATAGGCAAATGTGGTGGTTGGCATGTCTCCAACTTCCCTTGTCTCTGGAGGGCAAAATCCTCTTTGAAAAGATCAAACAGCCAGACCTTGGGCCTACACCCAGAAGAGCATGTGAACTCCCAGGAAATGTGCTACAGTAAAGGAATATTCACTAGCTATCCATGCAAATCAGCTCACCCTTCACACTGATAAATTCCTCCATTTCTTTATGCTCTGCAGCTATATCATTTTTACAGGGATGACAAATATTTATCTAACCCTTATACCTCTTTCAGCCAGCATTTTATATGCAGCAAAAAGCAGGGGTTAATGTTTATATATATACACACCACAAAGAATCCCTGATTTCTATATAATACACAAGGAAGAAGAGGCAAGTTTTGTTCTGGCATTTGCCAGCCATACTGAATCTAAGGTGCCTCTACAAATGGAAGAGAAAGTTTTGCAACTTTGAGGGGCCAAGCTGTGAATTCTGGTACAGCTCCATGATGGAATCATTTGATACGTAGTTAGGGCTGTCAATTGGCCAGGAGAAAAATGTCCCGTCCCTTTGACAGAGGCTTAACATGTGGAAATGGGAAGTCAAAGCTTTCCATAATATGAAGGGTTTTTTTATAAAGCACCCATTATTTGCTGCAGATCAAACTGATATTAAAGCAGAGGTCCATCAGTGGCTATTAGCCACAAGGTATAGATAGGAACTCTCAGTCTGGGGCAAGTGATGCACTGTATTCTTGGTGCTTGGGGGGGGCAACAGTGGGAGGGCTTCTAGTGTCCTGGCCCCACTGCTGGACCTCCTGATGGCACCTGGTATTTTTGACCACTGTGTGGCAAAGTGTTGGACTGGATGGGCCATTGGCCTGATCCAACATTGTCTTATCTTATGCTGTTATGTTCTTATGTTAAAGGAATAGCTAGAGAGACCAGTTCAAAAGTTAGCAAACCTATGATGTAGCTTAGCAGTGCTATATGTGTAGAGAGTGATTTTTGGATCAGGGCCAGAATGGTGAGGAAGAGGAGTTCTTTGGGTTACCAGGTCACAGTGCGGCAGTGGCAGTGGAAGCCACAGCTGACGGTGTTCCACTCTCGAAATAGTCAGTGTGCTCTTGTGGTTGATCTAAATTGTGAATGTGCCTTTCCGCAATCCATGGAGTGAGTCCCCCTGCTGTAGACATAATATCCCTCTAACGCAAACAGCCACATTTGCCCATCAGTTTCAAACTCCAGAATCACAAGAGAAGACATTGTAGGGAAACGTCCTTCTGGTTGAATCAATGAGTTCTCCCAAAGAACATTTTGTGAGTGCAGGAATCCCTTTCCCAATCTCCTGTCACTCATATCAAACTAAATCTTTTCAAAGTAATGCTAGAAATCTAGCTGTCCCCCTCTCTATTCGTAGCAGTTCTTTGTTTAATTTCCTCCTCCCATGATTTTGCTTTGTCAATAGACATCATCGACCTGAATAAGAAGTCTCAACACTTAACTTTACAGTGACATAAACATGAAATTGCGGAACAGTCCCCCTGCCTTGTGTATTTGAGCCACATACAACTTTTCTTCAACATTACACCCCCTATTCTTTCTGGTGGCTTCTCTGATGCACCCATTTCCCCCACATCCTCTCCACACAAAGGCTCACTTGCCAGCACGATCAAGTAGCATGAAATGGTTGGGCTACTTGATGCCTCTGACAGGAAAGGGACCCCAACACATGTTCATCTGACCTGGCTGCAAAAACTAACAGGCAAGGGACTGCTTCTCCTTGAAAGCTTTTCTCCATCTTAGTTTCCAAACTGGAGCACTTTGTTTAAAAGCATCTACACCAATGTTCCGTCTACGATGTGGAGTCTTGTGAGCAAAAATTCTACCTTGTGAACTACGGGCATTAAAATTGTGAGCAAGCGATTTGCCTACTGCATAAGTCAGTTTGCTCTGGAGCCATCCTTCCTGAACTAAGACAAAAAAGTGTGAGCCGGAGGCTAAAAACTGTGAGCTAGCTCAGACTAACTCAGCTTAGAGGGAACACTGACACAATACTGTGCTGTAATTGCCAGGCGTCCTGCTTTCCTATTTCCCTGGTGCACTC